TGACACTTCCCTACCTAAAATGCCCTGAAGTCTTCTACTCAGTGCATTAATATAAAACCCAAACTCTTCAGATCATCTTACAAAGCATTTTGTAATTTGGATCCTGACCTAACCAAATTCACCTCGTAACATTTTCCCCTTTGCTACTCAAGCTCCAAACATACTGGCCCTTCTTTCTGTTCTCTGAACATGCCAAACTCATTCCTGCATTAACATCTTAGCACCACCTCTTCTCTATCTGTAAAATCTATCTCTATGATCATGGCTTGTCTGACTCCTTATTTAGTCCTTGGTTAAATGTTTGCTTCACAGTAAAGAATTTGTCTGAACATGTAATCCATACTGTCAAACTCTATCACATTATCCAATTATACTTCTTTACAGAGCACCTATTTCATGTTTACTTGTTCATTGTCAGTCTGTGCCCATCAAAATTAAACTACAGGAGTGCATGGATTTTGTCTGTTTTGTTCATCACTGTACCCTTATGCCTGAACATAGCCTGCTAACTGGTACGTAGTTAGAATGAAAAAAAATGTGTATATCTAAATGGCAGAATGTAATTAGAAATGTATTTATCAGGTCAAATATTTGTACAAACATTGCTACACACGGATGGCAATGCTGTCAAAACTGAACCACTGGCCACAACGCAGAGCCATTATACACTACTTCAAAATATTAACTTGTCAGTCGATGTACAAATATCATAATTCAGGCATCTGAAAGGCACTATAAACTTGTTTATTTTATTGATTGCACAGGTTGGTTGGAAACTGAATATACCTGGACTCTCTAGTCTCTTTACTGTCTAGCCTATTTCTAGTATTTTCATATTCAATCACTGTTTTCTTCACAATATCTTTTATTATGTGACAAGTCATTCTTCCTTTCCCCTATTTATTTTTCTTTGAAAAAAATAAGTCTGTTCTTCTCATATATTCATTCTTCTAAATAAACTTCCGAATTGGTCAAATTTCTTAAAGTTGCTGAGATTTTTACTAAAACTGCATTAAATGTACTTAAAGGATTTATACATACTATAATAATATACATAGTAGTAATATATTTTATTTATATTATAAAGTAAATAAATATAAACTTAATTTTATATTTATTTTATGTAAGGTTAATACCGAAAAACCAACAAAGAATATATGCCCCAGATTACGTTCTTTAGGTACATTTATAAAGACGTTATGCATCATTAATTTTATTACTGAATATTTAATTTTAGTTGCTAGTGTGAATGAAAGTTCAGTCTTTTCAATATATACTCCAATTGATCAGAAGTAAATAAAGAAAATCATTCATACTATTAGTCTTGTAGCCTATCATAATGTTCGACTAATTATTTCTAAGGTTTCAGGTGACTCTTACAATTACAAGAAAAATAGTATCATCTGAATATAATCTTATTCTCAAATACCCTGAGACAGCAATTTATAATGCTATTTATATCTTGGTATCACCTTTCTGCAGAACTTAGCAGTGCTTATCAAGAGCATTAAAAACATTAGTAATCTAGTCCCAAGAATCCTTTCCCAGAGTTGTATCTTACGAGATGCATTTAGAGATTTATACACAAAGCTGTTCACCAACGTGTCACATATAACAGTAAAAAACAACCAGAAATGGGCTAAGGGGCAAATAAATAATTTATTTGCAGGACAAGCTATTATGAAATCATTTTAGAAGCCAACTTACTGGTAGGGAAAAATGCAGGAGCATACTGTTAGGTAAAAATCCAGAACACACAGCTATATTTTATTATGAAAATTCAGAAGACACAGCCATATTTTATTATGTGTTAGGTATATTAAAAGGTTATTAGAGAAAATGACTAGAAAGAAATGCGTCAAGATGCTAATAACTTAATTTTTTAAAAAATTATAAAATCTATAATTATAATGCTTGTCTTTTTAAACACACCCTTTATGTAAACATTTCTAGTATTTCATATATATTCTCTTATTGCATTTTTCACCTTTGTACCTTTTTGTTGTTTCAAAATTCTCCACACTATGCACTTTTTACAATAAAAAATAATAAATATTTAAAATTTTTAAATTTGAAAATCACTATGTGCTTCAATTTCATAACGGGTTAATAGAATCTTTACGTATGGAGGGGAAAAAATGAAACAGTTCTAATACCAGATTAACTATTCTAACTTCCTGGTGCTGCCACATGTACACTGTATTCATAACCCATCTGTCTATGAGTAAGAAAGAAATGTGAGTCATTCAAGTTGTTTAAGTCACCCACAGCAAAGTAACTGGCAGCAAATTTTTTGTTTCTAAGCTCTGGATCTTAATAGTTACTTATTATTTATTATTTATTCCAACTTGACTTTACACTTAAAATACACATCACTGTGCCCAGTACATAGTACAAATGGAAAAACCGTGGGAAAGATTACCTTCCACAACTACCTAACTTTTGTTTATTAGATTAACCATCCTCTTTTATAAGTAAATCATTTTGTTCAGAAATTTATAGTCTCTCATGTGTTAACGGGCTCCCATTACTCTTGAAAGATGAGACAAAAGATGTGGCACAGTGTTCACAAGGGTGGAAAGGGCTTATGTGAAAAAATTTACAAAGTAAAATCTACTGACACCAAAGTTCTTCTCAGTTTTTCTCTGACAAAGCTAAATGCAAAATAATTTTAGGTAAGGGTCCAAAGGATTAATGGTCTAAATTCAACCTAACAGTAAACTAAGCTACTGAATAAGTCATTCAGGTGTACAGGTATTCCCTATAAAGTATTTTAGACACAGTTGTTGCTGCATGTCTAGTCCCCGGCATTAATTTTAGTAAAAAACACTGAGAGAATTTCAGTATCTATTACTATTACAGGAATTTCAAATTTTACAGTGTATAAGTCAGTTTTAAATAATTATCTGATTTGTTCCTCATGAATCTCCTTTAAAGTTGGGCAAATATTACCACACCCATTGTAGAGTAAGTTATGTACCTACTGCTAATGCTGGTTATTTAATTCTATATCTGACTCCTATTCAGAATTATTCCAACAAGAATGTAAGCTCCAAGGATAGGGATTTTTGTCTGCTCCCATAACAGTGCCTGGCCACACACAGTCACTGAAATATATGCCAAATGTATCAATGAATAAATATCCTCTACAGAAATATGCGTAAGAAGCCAAAACAGTGGTGGTGGGGGGGAAATAGCATAAACCCTCCAAGGCTATTGTGAATAATCTAATTTTATAGGGGAGGGGTGTGGAGGGGACTGAAAGAGGTTAACCAAAGAATTTATATGCACAGCCCATGGACACAGACAACAGTTCTGTGAAGGCCTGGGGTGGGGTGGGGTGGAGGCTGGGTGAAGGGGGCAAAGGAGGGAGGAAGTGGGGGACATCTGTAATACTGTCAACAATAAAAAATAAATTTAAAAAATAACCTAAAATTTTTATATTATTCTGAACATGTAACAATAACTATATTTTCTCTATGTTATGGTATAGCATACAGGAAAGAACGTTATTTATATAAAACAAAAGTCTGTTTCAATATGATTGTTTTAAGAGTTAATGTATATTCTTTAGCAATTTTATTAAAAACATCTTATTAATAGCCTTTCAAAACATATATAGTTGCTTATGAGTTAAAAATTTTAAAGATATGAAATGACTCATCTGTATCTAACAATAATGATTAACTCAAAAACAAAACAGACACAAGTGAGGAAATAATTTTTCTTTCCCAGAAGATAGGTAGTAAAATATTTACACAACCCATTCATTCATTTAAAACAAGTGTCTGTGATGTACTTCAGAGTTATAAAATAGGCCCAAAACTTTTACTGACAGGATCATCTTTAGATTTATATTTCAGAAACCTGGTGTTCATGAAGATGGAAAATATCTTTTATAAAATATTGCAAGTTATCTTCTTTGCCCTCTCTATACATTAAAAAAAAATTATATAGTTAAAATTATATAATTAAAATCATAGAATGTCCCTTTTAAAAAAAAAAATTTTTTTTTATGTTTTTACTGATTTTTAGAGAGAGGAAGGGAGAGGGATAGAGAGATAAAAACATCAAGGAGAGAGAGAGAAAACATCATCAATCAGTTACCTCCTGCAAGCCCCCACCAGGAGGTGGAGCTGGCAACCCAGGCATGTGCCCTGATCGGGAATTGAGCTGTGACCTCCTGGTACCTGGGTTGACGCTCAACCACTGACAACACGGGGCCGGGAGAATGTCCTTTCTTTTGATTTTCACCAATTGCATGAAAGTATTTGTTTAATATAAGGATTGTTAACCTGTTTTTAGGGTAGGGAGTTTATAAAATGCTTTTGAAACTCTCAGGAAAGCAAGAAAAAAAATATGCACATGCATAAAATATTCTACATACATAGAGCGAAAAGCTATTCTTATGAACATTTGCTTTAGAAGAATCACAACCATTTCACTATTCAAAGAAATATGTGTTCTTAAAACTTTGTTTCCATGTTATTTACATTATTCAACATTGCTGCTAAAGAACAGTGTGTTTGCCAGTGTTGCTACAAAGGGAACACTAATCATAAAATTCTGTTACAAATTTTTGGGTTAGAATAGGAATACATTTGATGTTAAGAGTTTTAACTCCAAGCTTAAGGTATTCTAATTTCACTTTTCCCTTCACTCTACTGAAGTGTAAAATATAATAAGAAAGATTTTAATAATGGAACTGAAATCAACTTTACTACTAAGGCACTGAAACATTGTATTTTTAAAAGGAAAGTAGTCAAACATGAGCATAAATATATAATAACCATTCATGGAAAAATGTTATATTAAGAATTATGGCGAAACACTACCAACATAGTCAAATATCATGTTGTGCTATTAATATATTTCCTTTTATTAAAATAATTTATTAAGCTTTAATGACGACTCTAATCAATGGATATTTTTCAAAACATATAAATCATCTGATATTTACTATGATATCCATGCTCTAATTTCATCAATATTAAGCTTACCTTTCCTTTTGGTCCAGACTGCTTAAAACATGAAAAAGAAAAAGAATGTAAGAGGCAAGACCTCATTTTTGATATATCATTGTAGTTTTAGTAACTGTAGTCAATAAGGCAAAACTCCAATGTGATTAATTTGTTTTAAACACATTATATATGTTACATAGTATGTTTTGAATTGTCAGATAAATTGTTTTTCAATTTCTTTCAATACAGAAAATACTTTATATTTAAACATATTTAAGGAAGAAAAAACGATGTACAAAGACATGAAAAGTTCTTGAAAGCCTTAGTTAACCACCCAACATTTGAGGATATATGTTATTTTAGAGCAGTTATGTAAATAAGTCTTCAAGGAACAATATAATTTCCAGAAAGTTATAAAAAGTTTTAGTGGTTCCAATCCTGTGACATGATTATTTGCTTGAGTAAAAAATAAAAAATAAATAAAATTTTAACGTTGAAACTCCAAAACCTTAGCATACGATTTGGGATACAAGGCAAGGCCTGAGATTTAAAATCATGTCCTCTAATCAAAAGCCCAATGTCCACCCTTCTCCACAGTTCATAGAAAACCTAAAAAGCTATCAACACCAATTACTTAAGAGTAAAATTATAAAACTCTCAGTTTAGAATACGGTTCACATTCTAGAAATATTTCTCTTTATTATAAAAGGAACTAAATATTCAGAATTAACCCCAAGGAAAACATAGTTTACAAAATCCTCAAGTGCCCATATTAACTCTTGTATTCCTATTATGTGGAGCACACAAGTAAAATCAATTTAATTCCAGAAAAAAGAAAAAAAAAGAAATATGGTAACTTGGTTTTACAAAAGAAGTATTAAAAAGAAACATTATTTTTTTAAAAATATTTTCAATAGTAAAAAAAGAATTACTATAAATTTACATGCCATATTTCAAATTTTACCTGTTTTTGTAACAATGAGATAATCTGTGTAAAATAAGTTTGTGTTGTATAAATGACAGAAAAATAAGGGAATATTATTTTTACACCACTATTAAAAATGAAACAAAATATAAACGTAAAAGTTTAAATATTTATTTTCATATTTATATTTTCTTATGGAATTATATTTACAGGAAAAGTAAAACAAAAACCAAAAATTAGGTATTAATGCCTAATCTAGCCATTTCCAACTCTACACTCTTGTGCCCAAGAAATGGGAAGAGTTTAGTAGCCTCTTATTTTTTTCGTTTTTTCCCTAAACTCACCTGTACAGAGTAAAGAAAGAGGCAGAAGACCCATAGAAGAAAAACGTTTGGTTCTTTCAATAAACCAAGGGAGTAAGAAACAAAAAACAAAACTATATATATATATACACACACACACACACATATATACATATATACACATATACACACACACACATGCTCATTTACTGTAATATATCTAATTTATAAGTCATGGCACATCTATAATATCCCTCATATGTGTTTATTATCAAGTCCCACCCTAGAGGAAGGAACTTACATTTAAAAAAAAAAAAACTCTTAAAAAATGGGGAGGAAAGCCTAATTAGTAATGTAGGACTTTGTAAAAATGTCAACTTACATTCTTGTTGAGCTATTTCATCCTTGAGCTAGTGTTATACCAGTGCTCTTAAAATTTTAATGAAAAAGAAATTAAAAAGAAAGGAAAGAAGCCTGACTGATTGATTCTGGTATCCATGACTTGATTTAGGACTTCAAAAATTCATTCGAAGTAGTGCTTTTCATTAATGATTAATCTGAGCCCATTTTCCCATTTATGGTGTACATGTGCTGTTGTAGACATTCATTTTCCCCTATGGCCTTACAAGTCTTTTTACCTATCCTTAATAAAAAACAAAAAGTGAAATGTAAATAAAACATAAACCAGTAAATGTGTTCTTGTAGCAAGTCTGATTAAAGTTAGGGGTGAAGATGGTATAGAGTTATACACATTTTTTAATTTCTGCTTTTTTCTATACCAAATACTATCATCCTCCTCCATCACTATTAGTATATAAACCTATCTTTTAATATGACTTAAATTTACATTTGTAATAGCAGTAAGAATATAGGCTGGGATGTAATATTCTCCCAAATAGTAGCTAATCTGATCTGATACTTCACTAATCTTCATTAATTTCTTTTAGATTAAAAAGCTGTGGCATACTTGTTCCCATATCTTACTGAAGTACTATAAATTACTCAAAATGCAGGTCTGATTTACTTGAGGGACAAGTTATACCACTCACCCCAAGAAGAACAGACTATATGTGTAAATTACCAACTGGTGGCATTTCCTTTCATTTCAAATTAAGAGTTGAGAAAATAAAATTAGGAAGCTATAAAAGCCAGTATGCTCACCCTTATCTGTGGCCTGCACTAATTAAAACCAATGAGTATGCCCAGCTGGGCGTGGCTCAGCGGCTGAGCATCCACCTAGGATCCAGGCGATTGGGGTTCGATTCCTGGTCAGGGCACATGCCTGGGTTGTGGGCTCGATCAGTGACTCATCACTGATGTTTCTCTCTCTCTCTCTCTCTCTCCTCTCCTCTCTGAAATCAATAAAGATATAGTAAAAATAATAATAATAATAAAAAATAAAACCAATGAGTATGCCTTAGCCAGTTTTGCTCAGTGGTTAGAAAGTCAGCCTGCAGACTAAAGGGTCTTGGTTTCGATTCCAGCCAAGGGCATGTACCTTGACTGCATGCTTGGTCCCGGTCAGGGCGAGTTTGGGAGGCAACCAGTCGATGTCTCTCTCACATCGATGTTTCTCTCTCCCCCCCTTCTACTTTCTCTGAAAAGCAATGGCAAAAAGATCCTCGGATGAGGATTAAAAATAAATAAATATAAAACCAATGAGTATGTAGCAACCATCCTTTCTTCATGACTCTGAAGATGTGCATGCAGTGTTCTCCTCTAGCTAGCAGACTCAGAAGTTACTTTAATACTTTCTTTGTGGATTTTTTACCCCTCCCTTTTCTGTGAACAGTACTACATATACTTCGTATATCTCTACTACTGCACTTTCCATGTAATCATTTGCTCACTTGTCTTTCTGACCTCTACCTTAATTGAACTTAAGCTTCGAGGCAGGGACCCTGTCATATTAATCTTTGACTACTCTATACCTCACCTATGCCTGATATGTAGTATGAAATGGATGTTTTTGAAGGAAGAAAATTGGAAAAACTCTCAATGACTTGTCTTTGAATTTCAAAATATTTTTAATGACAGTCACATTGCAACAGAAGGAATAAGAAAGGTTTATTCTGTGAATAAGAAATAAAAGTAGAATCTATCCTGCTGGCATAACTCCGGGCTCTCCTTATTTTCCCTAGTTGTTCTTGTCAAGTATTTTCACTCAGGATTGTTTCTTTAAATACAAATTAACTCAGGGTTTTTTTTGTTTTTCTAAAGAAACATTTTACTATTGAATACCAGTTCCTATTAACAGAATCTAATCTTTTATGCAGATGAGTAATGGTACACATGCAAGGTATAATGGCTGTGGAGCCAGAATAAAACAAAACAATTTCCAGACTGAAGTCAGCTTTTTAACATTACCAATGAGGAAAGGGGGATAGAGAGGACAGGTCACAGTGCAAATAAATCCAAACTGACAGATAACTTCAAAAGCGATCATAATTTTGGTTATAGACTATATCACTTGATTATAAATTAGTATTTCAACTTAGAGCATATTTTCAGAATATCAAAAACACAGATCTTTATTAGCAATGGATTCTATCAATGTGATCACTATGTGAGAACACTATACCTCTCCTTTTTCTTTCCCCCTAATTAGTCTCCTTTTATTATTTATTCTCTTGTCTGTGCCACATGTAGGCCAGAGAGCTTGATTTGTCTGTGTACTTTACAGTAAAGCAAGTCAATTTTTGGTATGTGCAGTATTTTCTTTCTTTTTAGTTGAATTTCTCAAATATTTTATGTTAAAACTATGATTAAAAAATAATATATTTTAGTAAAAAAAGGTTTTTTTACTAACCTAATACATGAGAAAAATTTAAGATTATCTTAAGTCAAAGATACATGTTACAGCAAATCTATACAAACAGTAAACACAGCAAGGGTTTCTAAGAGTCAGGACACTGTTTCAGAATGAGTAGCAATCTAGATTGGTATTAAATAATGAAGAACAGCATCTAGCATATATACCAAATCTTTAAATTTTACTAGTTATAAAAATATTTTTATGCAACAATTCATAATGCAAGAAATAAAGAGATTATTTAATTGTTGCCATCCAAGAATTTTTTAGTAAACCGGAATTGACTCAGAACTGGTATTTCATAACTATATTTGGATGGTTATAAAAAACCTCAAAAGCATTTAAAACACCAAGCTTTCCCCACTGTTACTCTCATTATTTCAAGATTCAAGTAGTGTTTTCACAACTAATGAGAACATCCAAATCTATTAAAACTACTAAAACACAAAATTTTCTCAAACATTTAAAACTAATAATGTGATTTACTTTGATACTATGAAATCCTATGAGCCCTACAAAGAAAGTAAGGTAGTAACTGTAGTTTTATTCATCAGAGCTAACTACCAGATGAAGATTTCTCTGTCAAATGCTCTAAGTTCAATGTTGTAAAATTAGTGTAATTTAACTGGAATATAATGCAATTGGAAAACTTTTACTTTAAAAGTCCCTATTTACAGAATGTGATTTATTCAAAAGCAGATATAAAATAATAAAATTTCTAGGACATGAATTATTTCAGAGACATGAATTTATCTTTACAGACAACAGAAACACAGTAAAATTTCACAAATTTTAAAAAAAAGTTGAGAGAAAAAAAAGTGAAAAACTCCTATTAAAAGGGATGGTATATATATACTAAACAAAGGCAATTACAATCCTTACCTTTGGGCTGCTGTTTTTACTATTGGTATCTGTGCATTAGCATGATGAAAACATCTACCATCAATAACAGTTCCAGAACATAATGATGCATTCTGTGTATTTTCGCTGCAATTTCAAGAAACAAAGAATAATCTGAACAAGGGAAAATGACATACACGTATGCAAAATAAATCCTTTAAAATCTGAGCACCTGCACAAAACCACTTAAAAATGTTTACAGATAAAGCTAATTGGCCATGTTAAATTGCCCATTAGGAGTTATCCACTTTCTGAATTTATCTCTGAATGTTTCCAATCCAGTTCATGAAAGATGATAAAGAGCAGAACACTAGAATAGAAATCAGGAATCCTAAATAAATACTTTGTACTATAAGATTTCCAGTAAATTAATTCAGATATATTTTCTCTCTCTATTCTCTATTTAAAGACTGTTATAAAAAGTTTTAAAATCATGAATATTACAGTTTTCTTATATGCCCAAATAAAAATGTTAATTGTAAAAAAATAATGAGTCCTAGATTCTATTTCTAATTCTGCCACTGACTCAAAAGTTATTTAGCCTTTATGTACCTCAGCTGTCTGTCTATAAATTGACAAAGCAGAAATGAAATAGTGATTTTCAATCCTATTTCTGGAAGATGTAACACCCCAATCGTATCAGTAACAGTGGTTCACTATAGCAATCTCTAGGAAAAATGAGTTATATCTAGGAGAGAAGAAAAATAAGAAATCTTCAAAGTAAGAAAGTCCCTTATTGAGATAATCCTGACAAAAATCCCCTAAAGGAGACATGACACCTACCCTACGATGCTTTCTACTTCTAATATCATGACTGAGGTTTTACTAACTGTATGAAAGCAAGCTCATCTTATAAAATCCTAGTCTCCTGAAAATTTTCTTGCAATATGTTTATTTGGAATCAAGATATCACTGAAATCAACCCCATTCCCAAGATTCAAAGCAAAGAATCCACACACTGGGACCACTTATCTTCTTGGCCCTACTGACAAAGATGTAGGTTGAGCAATTCACAAAGATATATAGTTTTAGTGTCAAAGCCTTTATCTTTTGTGTAGGAATGTGTGGTGAAGTATTTATACCTCAATTTCTTTTTGTTGCTCGACATGTTAAGTCCAATTGGGTTGCCTTTTAAAGGTTTTGAATTTTCAGTCTTGTTTCGTCTTGCACATATCTTCCAAGAATCACCAGAACAAGTAGCAACAATTTCAGATTGACGATTTAACTGTAAAAAAATCCATAAATGTTAAAGAAACAATAAATACCATAATATGGCAATTTATCAACAACTATTTGAAAATTCATTTATTAAAAAGGTAGTAAAAATGTACTAGCTATTAGGGAGGGGTGGGAAGGATGACAATGGCATAAATCTGAGAGTAATTCAACTAATACTTTTTTTCCCTATAGACAACAGAAACATATAGGAACATGGGTATTTATAATATTATTTTCTTTTCATTTAAATATCTCCAAAGATATTTGAGAAAATTAAAAGAAAAACAGGCACACTCTCCCTCTCAAGAGCACGCCTGCGCCTTTCCTTACTCCCTCTAATTCCCCCCAGGTGTGTTACCTTTGCTTTTTCTCTCCTAAGCTCCAAAGGCCCTTCTTTTGCTTCTATAACTTGTTTTCTAAACCTATGCAACCCAGCTGGCTCACTTCTACTACCTCTGTAACTTTCTAAATAAACTTTCTCTTACAATTAAAAATAAAAATTAAAAAATAACAGAAGGGATGAGAGTATAGGATCTTGAGAACTCTTTCCCAAAACCAAAAAAAATAAACATTTCCCCTGCTTAACAGGCCTTGCTGCTATGTGTAGGGCAGTATAGCCAAATATGGCGATGAGCTGTCATTTCAACTTGTACAATGATTTTGGCCTTAGCATGAAAGAGATGTTTTCATACTTTCATAGTTCGCAAATGATAATATAAACATATCAATAACAATCACTACCTTAGGTAGATCACAGTATGACGAGAGAATGGCCCATTCCTTGGGAAACTCTTCAAAAAAGAAATCTACTTTTATTAAATTCATTGCACAAGACATTTAAAAGCTGCTTTCAGACTCAAGACAAAGGTCCTCAGTTCTTAGTGATAATTTACCCAAAACAAGATTTTAAAAATCATCCTTCTATCCTTTAATTGTATTTTTGAAACAACAGTCTAATCTTTTTCACAAGAAAATATAGTCAAAAGAAGATAGCAACTTGCCCCCCCATGCCAATTCTCTCTATAGAAACTTAAGTTTCCTAAAAAAATATCAGCTACAAAAAAAATCCTAAGGAGAGAGTTCACTGTGCCAGCACCACTCTTGTTTTCAGGAATATCTACATTACAAAATTCCAAAAAGACCTGTTTTTGACATACTACTTATTATCACTTTCTTCTCCTTGAGACATTTTTACTCCCTAATCTTTTTTTTTTTTTTTTTTAATTTCAGAGAGAAAAAGGAAAGGGGAGATAAAAACATGGATGATGAGAGTCATTGACCGGCTGCCTCCTGCATGCCCCTCCTGGGGACCAAGCCCAAAATCTGGGCACGTGCCCTGATTGGGATTCGAATTGTGACCTCCTGGTTCACTGGTTGATGTTCAACCACTGAGCCACAGCGGCCGGGCAACTTCCTAATCTTTTACAGCCATGTACTTCAGACTCCTTTCCTTCACTTCTGGTAATAGCATATTAAGTAACTCAGATCTCTTCCCTTTAGTCTCTAAAAACAACTAGAAACACTGGACAAACTACAAATTAAAAAAGAAACAAAAAAACATATATACATATATGTCTATGTATATACATGTGCATGTGTTTCAGGCATCTGAGGGCTACCAAGGCAGTGAAGTATTAAGAATTAAGATCGGGAGGGGCTGGGTGGGCTGGGTGGAGGCAGGCAAAGGGGGAGAAAAAGGGGACATCCATAATAGTGTTAACAATAAAAATTTTAAAAAAGAATTAACATCAGGGACGAGAAAACTCAAAATCTAATCCTACATTCATATTTTTCCCTGAGGCATCTTTTGATTCCAGAAGATGCGGCAGGGAGGCTGAGAAGCTAAGATGAACTTCCGAAAGACTCAAAAGAGCTAAGGAGACAAAAAGTGGATCTACCAAGTATGAAGGGCCTTGTAAACACCTCAAAATTTGGGTTAGGACTATATAGTCTATGAATTAAGAGTGAATTAGGCCTGGCCAGGCATGGCTCAGTGGTTGAGCATCGACCTATGATCCAGGATCAATTCCCGGTCAGGACACACGCCCCGGTCAAGGGCTCAATCCCCAGTGGGGGGCTTGCAGGAGGCAGATCAATGACTCTCTCATGATTGACGTTGTTTCTATCTATCTCTCTGCCCCTCTCCCTTCCTGTCTCTGAAATCGATAAGATATATTAAAAAAAAAAAAGAAAAGAAAAAGAGTGAATTAGAACTATAAGTCCTCTGAGATTGAAATCTAGGTGCTAATCCTCTCAACCTCCAGTTCAATTAAGAGTAAATCAGAATTACCTGGCGGAGGAAGAACAAGATGGCAGCGCAGGTAGCAGCTGTACCCGTCACCTCCCAAACCACATCAAAATTACAACTAAAATACAGAACCACCATCACTCAGAGCCTCCTGAAATCTGGCTAAAGGGAAGCCCTACAACCAGGGAACTGAAGAAGCACGGAGACCGGTAGGAGGGGTGGAGACACCGGCGGATAGGGGCTGAATCACAGAGATGCGGCGGAGGGCCCACACCCGGTGCTGTGGGTTAAACCTGGGAGGGAATCTCAGCAGTGGGAGTTTCCCGGAAGAGTGAGGGGTCCTAGCTCCACATCAGGCCCTCAGCCCAGGGCTCCAGGGCCAGGAAGAGAAATCACCACAGCTTCGGGCTGTGAAAACCAACTGGACTGTGGCTGGACTGCGGGAGCCCCAGGCAGCTCCTCTTAAAGGGTCCGAGTACGGACTCACTCGGATGAGCTTCCTCTGAGCCCAGCGCTGGGCAGCAGCTTGAAAGGACCTGGGACACTCGGGGAGGAACTAACCTGCCTGAAATCCGGGCGAGAGGTGGAGGGGCAGCTTCCTCCCAGGCAGAAGAGCTGGCAGAGGCCATTGCTCCTTTGGCGAGTCCTCCCTGCACACAGCTGGCAGGCAGGCGCCATATTTAAATCACCAGCAGGTGACTCACACCTACTACACAAAGCCACTCTACATATCCCAGGAGACATAGCAGCTCTACCTAATACATAGAAACAAACACCAGGAAGCAGCCAAAATGTGGAGGCAAAGAAACATGTCACAAAGGAAAGAACAGAAGAAATCTCTAGAAAAGGAACTAAATGAAATAGATCCAAGCAAGCTGACAGATACAGAGTTCAGAATTTTGGTTATAAGGATGCTCAACCATGTTAGTAAGAGTATGACAAAAATAACTGAGAAAAATCAATGACATAATAAAGTGCCAATTTGAAATGAAGGCTACACAAACTGAAATGAAGAATAATTTACAGGGAATCAACAGTAGAGTAGAGGACGCTGAGAATCAAATCAGAAATTTGGAACATGAGGAAACAAAAAACACCCAACCAGAAGAGCAAAAAGAAAAAAGAATCCAGAAATAGGAAGATAGTATAAGAAGCCTCTGGGACAACTTCAAGAGGCCCAACATTCGTATTATTGGGGTGCCAGAAGGAGAAGTAAGAGAGCAAGAAATTGAAAACCTATCTGAAAAAAATGACAGAAAAGTTCCCCTACCTTGGGAAAAAAATAGACTTACAAGTCCAGGAAGCACAGAGGGTCCCAAACAAGAGGAACCCAAAGAGGCCCACAGCAAGACACATCATAATTAAAATGCCAGAAGTTAAAGACAAAGAGAGAATCTTAAAAGCAACAAGAGAAAAGCAATTAGTTACCTACAAGGGAGCACCCATACGACTGTCAGCTGATTTCTCAACAGAAACTTTGCAGGCCAGAAGGGAGTGGCAAGAAATATTCAAAGTGATGAAAAACATGGAACTACAACCAAGATTGCTCTACCCAGCAAAGCTATCATTTAGAACTGAAGGTCAGATAAAGAGCTTCAGAGATAAGAAAAAGCTAAAGGAGTTCATCACCACCAAACCAGCACTGCAGGAAATGTTGAAGGGTCTTCTTTAAGAAGAAGCTAATGGATAAAAGAATCTAACAAACTAAATAGATCCAGAGACATTGGCGCAGGCAACAGACGATCACATTTCAGAGGGAAGAGCGAACGGGGGTGGAGGGTGGGAAGAGATTAACCAAAGAAGTTATATGCATATATGCATAACCCATGGACACAGTTAATAACGGGGTGAAGGCCTGGGGAGGGGGTGGGAGCGAGGTGGAGGGGTCAATTGGAGGGAAAAAATGGGACACCTGTAATACTTTCAACAATAAAGATAAATTAAAAAAAAAAATTACCTGACTCAAATTTTGAGTAAATAAAAATTACCTGGGTAGTTTGTTAAAACAAACTGCAGTGCCTGACCCTTACAGTTTATTCTGATTCAGTAGGTCTGGGGGGGCGGGGAGGCGCTGAGAATTCCATTTCTAACAAATCCCCCGATGATGATGATATTGCTGACCAGGGGATATTTGGAGAACCATTGGATTAAGGTGATCTGAGATTGCTAATGCTCCAGTTATTATCCAGAAGTAAACATATATCCCCTTTACAGGAAGATAATATTACCCTAGGCCTCAAATTATCTACCATCATAAGAAGGCTCATCAAAACAAAGGGAAACTACTGAAAATAAGAACAGAATTATAGGGGATGAAATAACAAGGTTATCACACTCTCATTTACATTAGTAAAGAACAGAACCACTTAGTGATGAAAAAAATAAAAATTAAAAATACCGCCACTTCTGCATTTGGTAACCTTTTCTTCAGAGAAAACAGTGTTATCATGGAAAGGTAATAATTTAGAAATCAAATAGACCTGTTGTCTCTTTCTAGCCACATAACTTTCCTTGTAATCATGGGGTTATGAACAAAATACATACACAAATTGCCAATCCCTGGAAGGGGTAGATAGGAAATCAGTATTAGATCCCACTCAATTAGAAACACATATATCTTCAAATAGATTGCTCATAAACTATTTTATCATAAACAATTAATAATATTAAGCTGCATTCAGCCAAGAAAAATTAGACCTATCCAGTCATTTTGATCTAGGCCTATTCCCTTGCTGTTTTATTTAATGGCCTAAGTCAATGTTTCTTTAAATCTGGTCACTAGATAAGCAGCATCAACATAATTTGGGTACACTTTAAAATGCAAATTTTTGGGCCCCACTCCACACCTCTTAAATCAAAAACTCTGGCAGTGGGGTCAAGCCATCTGTTTATCAAACCTTCCAGGTGATTCTGATGTACACTAATGTTGAAGAGCCACGGCTCTGGATGGTTTTGATATCATGTTAAGAATCTTGAAAGCAAAAAGTTTCCATTAAAGACTGTTCATCTAAATTCATTCCTCTATATAGTTAATTACAACTAATATTTATTGAGTGTCTACTATAAATAGGCATTACATTAATTACTTTATGTTCAATATCTCATTTAATCTCCATATTCATATTTTATACATTTCAGTAATTCTTCAGAGGAGGATTCAGCAACTGTACCTGAAACATCAGATCAATTAATTGATGCTACTGAATGACGGACAGGATTAACACCCTCAAATTTCCCTTTTTTTTTCTTCTCAATAAAATCTCTCCACCACATATCATTTAAACTTTATTGAAACCCTATCCCTATGTTATGGTTACTGAGCTTAAAAAGCAAAGTAACTTCTCCAAACTAGTTAAATGGATTTGAACAAAGGCTGATCTGATTCCTGTAAAGTACAGCACAGGGGATATAGTCAATAATATTGTAATAACTATGTATGATGCCAGGTGGATACTGGAAATATTGGGGGAACACTTTATAAAGTACATGATTGTCTCACTAGTATGCTGTACACCTGAAACTAATACAAAATAATATTGAGTGTAAACTCATTTATGTATTGTCTTTAAAAGTTGGACCTTTATATATTTAGCTCATTTAGTCTACGGAAAATGTCTGCATAGAAATTACTAGATAAGGTTAGTTCACAAAGACCAGCCAGTCAATTAAATCAGATGTAATATTTATATACAAAAGTCTATTTTCATTTTTTATTTCAAATATACATGTTAATTTCATCATGACAACCATTTCACTTCAGAATCCTAAGGCAGAAAAAGATGGCCTTGCTTTTGGCCTGAGTTTGTTACCTGGTTGTAATAAGTCACAGGAGATTTCAGTCTTTTATTTTATTTTATTTTTATACTTTTTATTGATTTTTAGAGAGAAAGGGAGAAGAGACATCAATGTGAGAACATAACATTGATCGGCTGCCTCCTGCACGCCCCCTATTGGGTATCAACTGATGGTACATCAATCAATGGTACATCCAGTCACTGGAGTACTAGGTAGCAATAAAAGGAAGATCTCTAAATACTTTGCTATATAAATTGATCTACAGTCTGTAATGTTAAGGAAAAAAAAAACCGAGGTGCCAAACAGTGTGGATACTATAAGGAGAGTGGTATATTCTTATAATTAAAATAAAATAAAAAACAATGGAAGGTGAAACCACAGTGGGTTGCCTACAGTAGATGAAAGAGAAAGCGATGGAGCAAATCAGGTCAAAAGCTAGACTTCTCTGTAGATTTCACTTTGGAAACACGTGAATATTTTTTATATGTATAGAACTAATTAAATTAATTTTTTTTTTTAAAACAAAGTTAAAAAACAAAAAACAAAAACCTAGCTCTCAGCCAGCTGGTGGAGTGGAATAAATAATTTCAACACAGTAATTTAAATATACATTCCTAGTGGGATACACCTGGTAGTGCCACCAAACAACAAGGAAACAAACAGAATAAAAAAAATTTGAATCATTTTATTAGTAATTATATTTGTATTGGTGGTGTAAAATTATTTAAAGTACCTAATAGGACAAAGCAAATAAACAACGAAGTTATCATCATTAGGAACCAAAACACTAAACCCAAAAGACACATATTTCACAACATAATACATTTTTTCCAAGGCAATAACCACCAAAAGCAAAGACAAAAGAAAGACTAGTGAAAAAAACTGCTTTAAAATATTAGCAACTAGTACCAAAGCAACATGCCAATGTCTCCAAAAAATGGCATTTCATCAAAATAAGAAACCCTTATAATATGCATCATTATTGTATGTACTAATATGCAAAGAAATTTTTTAAATTAAACCATGTCATGCAATTATAATATACATCTAGATAGATTTCACACATCAAAATGTGAATAAATGTGTATCTCAAACTCAATATAAACAGAATTCCTATGAATCAACAATATTCTAAAGATCAAATAGAAAAATAGGCAAAGGATAATAACTGACAGTAATAAAAAAAAAAATGGAGTACATATATTAAATGTGTTCAATCTCACTCATAATAAAAGAAATGCATATTAAGACTGCATTGAGATATTTTTCACTGGCAAAAATCAAAAGATTGATAACACTCTAACAAAAGTTTGAGGAAACAGCACTCTCAGACATTGCTGATAAAAGTGTAAATCAGGTATAACAAAATTAGAAATGTATCTGTCCTAATACGGCAGCTCTACTTCTACACCCTACAGATATACTTGTATGTGTGCAAGATAATCCATACAGAAGGCTAATTTACTCAGAATTATTTTAAGGGGAAAAGGTTGATAACCATAAATATGGTGGTATTGGATAATAATGGTACATCATAAAATGAAATACCCCTAAAAAAAACCTGAGGATACTCTTAATAAACTCTCATGGATGGTCTCCAGATACCTTAATTTTTTTTTTTAGATTTTTTTTTTTTNCTCAGTTTGAGAAAGATAAAATACACATTGTGTTGAAAGCCCTGGATCTGATTTCGGAGGCCAGGGCTCTAAAAGAAATGCAGATCTTTAGTTTACTCCCCTTGGAACTCTGGGTCAGTCCTTTCCCCTTCCACACCTGGGTTTCTGCAGATAGAGGGGTTGATATATATTGTTCTTGCTTTTTATGAATCTATTATTTTGTAAGGTAAATTTAAACTTAAAATACCTGTTAGTTCAATTTCTCTTTCTTTACTTCTGCTGATACTTGGCATAACAAGATATAAAGCAGTTATTGTTCTAAACTTGCAAAGATTTATTTTTTTAAGCAGTAAAATATAAGAGAAAAGGCATTGCACTGTTGTGCAGTGATTATTCAATGAGAAAAATCATTTATTAGCTGGCTGTTACTTTCCAAGCTCTGAACAAAAAGTTTCTTATAAATACTGAGATATTAATTTCTTTTTTTTAATCAATTAATGGATTGATTGATTGATTGTAGAGAGAAAGAGAGGGGGAGAGAGAGAGAAAGAGGAACATGTGAGAGTGAAACATCGATCGGCTGCCTCCTGCACACCCCCTACCAGGGATTGAACCTGCAACCCTGGCATGTGCCCTGATCGGGAATCGAACCAGCCACCTTTCGGTACATGGGACGATACCCAACCAACTGAGCCATACTGGCCAGGGCAGATATATTAACTTATAGAGGACTAGAAAAAGTGTGTATAGGATACTACCAATTATGTAAGTGTAAGGGGGTGAGACAAGAATATACATTTTTGTCTTAACACAACATATCTGATGGGAAAAACAAGAAACTGGGAACACCTTGCCTCAAGGTAGGAAAGAGAGAGGCTGGGACTTACAATTTAAAAATGTTAACAATTTCTTTTGAAATATTCATTTTTAGTATATAAACTAAAAATATTTTTAAAATTAAAAAAAGCAACACTTGCCTTTTTTCCTTTTGAGGTTTCAGAATCCTCATCTTCATCTACACTGAGTAGATTTGCCTCACTGCATAGAAAATAAGGGGGGGAAAGACCTTAAGTGGCAATTACAACCCATACATTAAATTCAGAAAAATAATTCAGGGATCAGCAAACTTTTTCTGTAAAGGGCTATAGAGTAAATATTTTAAGCTTTGCAGACCATATGGTCTCCATATCAACTACCCATTTTTTCCATTATAGTATAAAAGCTCCCACAGATTATATGTGTGGCTGTGTTCCAATAAAACAATTGATAAAAATCCAGTGGTGGGTTAGATTGGGCCTATGAGTCATCGTTTGTTGATCCCTGCCATAAATGAATATTTGTTTTCTTATATGTGGATTTCATATATGGTCGCTCATTTTTACTTTCAGTCTTGGATTTAAAATTAGGGGGAAAGGACAGAGAAACAAATAGAGAAGAAATAAAATAAGAAAACGTTAATTAATTAAAAGAAAGTAATTCCAATGGTATTACTACAGTAAAAGAGTTATACCTCTACCACTCTGAAGGAAATAACCCTTCACAGAGAATCACTGGCCTGAGATTCTAAAAGACCAGACTGATACATCTATTAATAAACAGTTCATATTCATCTCAACATGTTCAAAAAGGTAAAGTCCCTGAGAATACACTTATAAAGATGAATCAAAGAGTATGATTCATAAATGAAACATACAGAACAGGGAGCACCTTAAAGGACAATTTTTTTACATACCCATGACAAATCTTCTCACAAAGAAACTCAAAATACACCCTTCTGAAGACAAGTCTACTAAGCTATTTTTAGTAAAACCCTAACTATAATAAAAATGTAAAAGGTTTGTTTCATTACTGTTTATATACATCCCAACTTTTTTAATACTAAAAATTCTCTCCTTCCAAACATTTTACAAAAATGTTTAAAAAGTGGTATACTTTCTACTCAATTTCATTCTAATTTTTCAAAACTACATAGATACTAGATGTAACAAAAAACTATTTTAAATTAAAAAATAATCAGAAATGAAAGACCCTAAAATACCAATTTTAGCTGAGAAAATTACCAGTTCTAAGCTCTCCTTCAAATAAAACTTCACTTCAGTTCAACAGCTCATAGGTGAAAACACATAAAGTGGTAATGATGAATGGAGATGTTGCCCAGAAAGAAGTGAAGCATTTACAATATTCAGCCAATATACTCTGAATGACTTCTTATATAAAATTTCTAAACATATTTATAGTTTTGGTAGAACTTAGTGTATATATTTGTGTTTCTCTAAATTTGCTGTTTGTTCTGGTTAGGGGCAAAACCAGATCAATAAACCAAGGAACGAATGGCAATGCTGGATTTGTAATAGAAATTCTGCACGATGCAAAAGGTTCTATTAAAGCCATTATTTGAAATTTTTTACGGAAGTAATTGCAAGTACATTACCAAGTAAGCAAAGTGTTCATTATAACTTCTGTCTGGGTCAACACCTGTGTTTATCATTTATAGTGTTTCTGCTTTCTCTGGTGGTAATCTGATCTAAGACGGATGTGGTGGTTAAGGGTGCAACTGGGAAGAAAGTTACTATAGGACTTAAACTTTCAAACAAAATTCAGGGATCTTAATCTGGGCTTATTTTTTTATTAAGGAACATTTCTTTAGTTGGAAATCTGTAGTATGGCTGATATTTAATCATAAGGTTACATAAATTACATGCACATATTTATACACTTCAAAAGAGAGAAATATAGCAGCAAAATTATTTACCAATAAAGAATTGCCTTTTCTTTCCTTAATGCTATTATAACAGTTCAATATTTTCTTAAGAATACCATACTCTTAAAAATATTTCCATGGAATATAAATGATTTTTCTACTGAAAAGTTTCATTCTTATAAAATATCTGAGGGGAAAAAAGTCTTACTCTTTATCTGTATCTCCTTCACTTTCTTCTCCATGATCAAAGCTCCAATTATTTTTAAAACCTCCATCTCTCTTAGATTCTGATCTAGTCAAAGCTGGAATAAAAACAGAGATAAGTATTCATTAATACAGCTATTAACTATAAAATAGAGCATTCCCCAAGCTCTTTGCTTAGTCTTATTTTCTTTTCACTTGCTTATCTTTGACTTACGAACACCTTATTTCCTCTAAAGAGAAACAGAACACTTTAATGTTATTTATATGTGTGAGTTTGCTAGAGAAAGATGCTCAAATTAGTAAAATGTTTTAAAAAATGGGGGGGGAATGCATGAATATGTATGAAATATTTAAAAAATCAACCCTGTATCTCTATAATTGACCACTGATTCTAGAAATCAGTGCCTTTAGTTTGCTTGCCTTATTTATGAGAACCATAACCAGACCACTTTTTTTTACCTCCATCATCTCTGCCTTTTAACAAAAGAGAAACAAATCAAACATGTCAGTGTTGACAATGTGGTGAATCTGATTTGTCAAAAAACAACAAAAACTCTCCATATCAGAACACCAAACACACTCATCATGAGTTTTAAAATTTTTATAAGTGCATAGCTGAAATCCCTTGAAGCTATAAACAACTGGAAAGTAGGAATCTGGAGAGAGAATTAAACTTCTGAAGTTGTCACTTGAAACCATGTGGCAAAAACCTGATGGCCCAGACCAGAGCCTGGTTTGTAAGATCAAGTTTGCAGCCACAGAGCCCTGGCCAGTGTGGTTTCAGTTGGTTAAGCATGGTCCCATGCACCAAAAGGTTGCTGGTTCGATTCCTGGGGTCAGGGCACATGCCAGGGTAGCAGACTCAATCCCCATTAGGGGGTGGGCAGGAGGCAGCCAATTGATGTTTCTCTTTCACATCGATGTTTCTCTCTCTCTCCCTCTCCCCCCCTCTCTTTCTAAAATCAATAAAAACATACAAACATACATACATACATATGTGTGTGCATGTATATATATATGTATATATATTTTTAAAGTTTGGGGCCACAGCAAGATGAAAGGTCAGACCAAATACCAGAACACCTGAAGGGCAACACACTGACAGGGTGAATTAGGAGAGAAAAAAGTAATTCACTGAAGAAATCAACAATGGGAATATTAATGATATCCTGTCCTTGGCTTTGGATTTTTGGATTGAACTGAAGACAAAGTGTATCCACCCCATGGTTAGGGAATTCCTAACCATAAGCTCACAATTACTCAGATTTGGGACCAGAAGTTTCATAACTTACATGGCCCAAAGAAGTCCATAATTTTAAGTCTACAAGAAAAGATGCTCAATGTCACTAAACATAAGGAAAATGCAAATCAAAACTGTAATGAGATACTAGTTCACACCCATTAGGATGACTATTTAAAAAGAAATTAAAACGAAATATAATTAATTAGTATTGAAAAAGATGTGGAGAAACTAAAACTCTTATGCACTGCTGGTGGGAATGTAAAATGCTGCAGCCACTGTGGAAAAAGTTTGCCAGTTTCTTAAAAAATTAAACAAAGAATTACCCTATGATCCATCAATCCCACTTCTAGATATATACCAAAAAAATAACTGAGGGCACGGACTCTGACACTTGTACACCAATATTACAGCAGCATTATTTACAATAGCCAAAAAGTGGAAAAAACCCAATGTCCAGCAACAGATGAATGGATAAACAAAACATGCTCAGCAAACACACACAAATTCAGCCATAAAGGAATGAAATTCTGATACATGCTACAACACGGATGAACCTTGAAAGCATTACACTGAGTGAAATAAGCCAGACACAGAAGGTCAAATATTGTATGATTCCATTTCTATGAGGTACTTAGAATAGGTGAACTCAGAGACAGAAAGTAGAATAGCAGCAGCTAAAGGAAGAGGAGAATGCAGAGTTATGGTTTTTTTTGTTGTTTTTTTGTTTTTTTTGTTTTTTACTTTTTAAATTTATCTTTATTGTTGAGAGTATTACAGGTATACCATTTCCCCCCGCAACTGACCCCCCTCCACTTCGCTCCCACCCCCTCCCCAGGCCTTCACCCTGTTACTGACTGTGTCCACGCGTTATGCATATATGCATATAACTTCTTTGGTTAATCTCTTCCCACCCTCCACCCCCCCTTCCCTCTTTCCTCTGAAATATGATCGTCTGTTGCATGTGTCAATGTCTCTGGATCCATTTAGTTCATCAGATTCTTTTGTTCATTAGCTTCTTCTTAAAGAAGACCCTTCAACATTTCCTGTAGTGCTGGTCTGGTGGTGATGAACTCCTTTAGCTTTTTCTTATCTCTAAAGCTCTTTATCTGACCTTCAATTCTAAATGATAGCTTTGCTGGGTAGAGCAATCTTCGTTGTAGTTCCATGTTTTTCATCACTTTGAATATTTCTTGCCACTCCCTTCTGGCCTGCAAAGTTTCTGTTGAGAAATCAGCTGACAGTCGTATGGGTGCTCCCTTGTAGGTAACTAACTGCTTTTCTCTTGCTGCTTTTAAGATTCTCTCTTTGTCTTTAACCTTTGGCATTTTAATTATGATGTGTCTTGCTGTGGGCCTCTTTGGGTTCCTCTTGTTTGGGACCCTCTGTGCTTCCTGGACTTGAAAGTCGATTTCTTTCCCCAGGTAGGGGAAGTTTTCTGTAATTATTTTTTCTAATAGGTCTTCAATTCCTTGGTCTCTTTCTGCCTCTTCTGGCACCCCAAAATTAAGAATGTTGGGCCTCTTGAAGTTGTCCCAGAGGCTCCTTATACTATCTTTGTATTTCTGGATTCTTTTTTCCTTTTGCTCTTCTGGTTGGGTATTTTTTGTTTCCTCATGTTCCAAATTTCTGATTTGATTCTCAGCGTCCTCTACTGTTGATTCCCTGTAAATTATTCTTCATTTCAGTTCCTGTAGCCTTCATTTCAAATTGGTACTTTACTATGTTACCGATTTTCTCAGTTATTTCCCTAACCATCTGCTTAAACATCCTTATAACCAAAATTCTGAACTCTGTATCTGTCAGCTTGCTTGGATCTATTTCATTTAGTTCCTCTTCTAGAGATTTCTTCTGTTCTTTCCTTTGTGACATGTTTCTTTGCCTCCACATTTTGGCTGCTTCCAGGTGTTTGTTTCTATGTATTAGGTAGAGCTGCTATGTCTCCTGGAATTTGTAGAGTGGCTTTGTGTAGTAGGTGTCCTGTAGGGTCCAGTGGCTCAGCCTCCCCAGTCACCTGAGCTGGGCCTTCTAGGTGCCCCTGTGTGGGCTGTGTGCACTGTCCTGTTATAGTTGAGCCTTCGTTGCTGTTGGCGTCCCTGGGAGGAATTTACCCCCAGGCCAATCAGCTGTGAGGACCAGCTGCAACTACAGCCAAAGAGCTGTTGTGCTGGAGACACCTCTATGGAGCAGGATTTACTTCAGTGGAGCTCTGTTTCACCAAGTGCACGCCTTGAGTGTGTCACTCGTGGATGTGGTAGGGTTGTAATCCAGCCTGGCCGAGTCTGATCACCAGGTGCACTGTCTCTGAGGCCTCCCAGGAAGTGCAAAGTCAGCCTGTGCCAGTGCCTTGCCCAGGGCCACCCAGCATGAGCTACACAGCAAACTGTAGTTGGCTGCTACTTGTGCTGGGCTTGGAGGTGTCCAGGAGAGGCCAAGCTATGAGCCAATGCAGCTGCCACTAGTGTCAGGCCTGGGGCCACTTATCAAGCCGTATGGGGCCCGCTGCTGCTTGTTTGAGAGATTTTAGGAAAGTCCTAACCATAAGGCTCGAGAGGCCACTTGCACAGAAAAGCCCCTGGAAATGGCCTGGATGAGTGTGCAGGTGGGGAGGGGCGGGGCCTCAGGAATCACGGGGCAGGGCCAAAGGTGTAAATCAGGTGCTGGCGATTCCAATATGGTGCCTTCCTGCCAGCTGTGTGCAGGGAGGACTCGCCAAAGGAGCAATGGCCTCTGCCAGCCCTTCTGCCTGGGAGGAAGCTGCCCCTCCACCTCTCACCCGGATTTCAGGCAGGTTAGTTCCTCCCCGAGTGTCCCAGGTCCTTTCAGGCTGCTGCCCGGCGCTGGGCTCAGAGGGAGCGCGTCCGAGTGAGTCCGTGCGCAGGCCCTTTAGAGGAGCTGCTGGGGCTCCCGCAGCCTCTGCAACCCTCAGAGACAGTCCCCGCTGGTTTCACAGCCCGGAGTTGTGGGGATGTCTCTTCCCAGCCTGGAGCCCTGGGCTGGGGGCCCGATGTGGGGCTGGGACCCCCTCCCTCCTCCAGGAAAACTCTGCCGCAGAGATTCCCTTCTGGGTTTAAACCATGGCACCGGGTGTGGGCCCGTGGCCGGGTCTCTGAAATTTAGCCCCGATCCGCCCGCGTCTGCGCCCCTCCTACCAGTCTCGGTGCTTCTTCAGTTCCCTGGTTGTGGGGCTTCTGTTCAGCCAGGTTTCAGGAGGCTCTGAGTGACGGTGGTTCTGTATTTTAGTTGTAATTTTGATGTGGTTGCGGGAGGCGGCGGGTGCAGCTGTTATCTACGCCGCCATCTTGTGTTTCCTCCTTTCCAGAGTTATGTTTTAATGGGTACAGTTCTTGTTTAGAATGAAGAAAAAGTTCTCGAAATGGATAGTGAAGGTAACTGCACAACATTATGAACATACGCAATACTAATCCACACAACTGTACACTTAAAAATGGTTAAAATGGTAAATTCTATGTTACATATATTTTACCACAAGAAGGAAATGTTTGTAAAGGGGGAAAAAAAACCCCCACCAAATAAAAAAACTTCTAAATGACTAACAGAATTAAATATAAATCTTCTCTTAATAAATATAAAACTTAGGGGGTTGGGGGGAGGTAGAAGAAGGTAAAGGGGGGGATAAATGGTGATGGAAGGAGACTTGGTGCAGTAAACACACAATACAATATACAGATGATGTATTATGGAATTGTACACCTAAAACCTGTATAATTTTATTAACCAATCTGTCTCCCACTTTCCCTCTCTCTCTATATATAAAATAGATATAATTTCAATGTAAGCCTCAAAAGTAGAATTTCAAAAAATGTGAGTTCAAAACCAAAAATATCATTAAAGAGG